AATTCATAGTAGGATACATAATTCCTTTGTGTTTTTTCCTATGTGTTACACTGTTAGGGAAAGCTTGGGATTTAAAAGCCAGCTCTTTTGATTCAAAATCAGTCCATTCTACTTCATCGTGAAAGCTTTGTAGTGCTATATTATGCTCTAAACTAATGTTCCTTAGTAAGTTTTGATAATGCTTCCTTTGCTAGTGTGATACCAGTCATGGACTTCTCTCCCATAAACATTCATATGTGAAAGTACACATTTAAAACTTTGCATACAATTTTAGGTACATTTGTGGGCGCTCTGAAGCCTACCTATGAACTCTCTCAGGAGTTCTACACTGAATTCATGTCATTGGGATCTTCAAAGTGTAAGGTTGAGCCTGACATTTGAAAACTCACCGAGTATTACTCGAATCACAGCTCTTCCATATCAATGCCAAAGAAAGGATGCTAAGGGATCAGAGATGGGTCAATCTGAGATTTATAAAACAAGAAAGAAGAAAGGGGATAGTCAAAAACTACCATTGATTTATTTGTAAAGAAATGTGACTTGGGATACATTCTAGAGATGATAAAGAACAGAGAATAAGACATTGTTTTTAAGAAAAACTTACAATGAAGTTTTTGCTCTATCAGTAATTCAGTACCCAGTGTAGATATTAGTAACAGAGGGTTGAGTAAAGTGAAAAGTGAGTTTTTAGATCACAAAAGGAGGCAGGTAAAGCTTTCTGAATTGAAGAATCACTGAAACATTTTAGAAGAGAAACATACAATTAACAGAGCAGTAATAAAATTTCACTCTTATCAAGGCTTCCTTTTGCTGCACATTAATGTCCATTATGTATTAGGACTTGAAGGATCATTGGATTTATTTAAGAAATAAGTACCACTTATTCAGAACTTACTTCATTGCTATCTCCATTGAGAGTAAGGACCCACAGATCCCATCATTACACACCCAAACTTCAAATGTTAATCAGGCAAAGACAATTCACAAATTACCAGTGGCTTTTAAAATATCACAGTAAGTCATAAATTCCATTGTTTTATATATTCTGTATCAACTATCTCACTTTTTGATCATGTAGTAGAGTGGTAAAAATCCTCATGTTCTAAACTGCTATCAGATTTGATTACTTTTAGTTTGGAAGTTTAAAGTGAATCTTAAGTGTGAAAATTTACAGGAATTTGTCAAATGCTCCTGATTCTAACCAAAGTATATGCAGATCTTCCCTATAGGAATGACACACCAAGCTTTATAGGTTGTCATGACGACTTGAGTAATGTTCCATGAGGAAGGATTTGAGCTTTATCATATTTGCAGTTGTCCTGGCAACATGACAATCTGACTTCATAAATGAAGTGTCACTTTGCCAGTTAAACTGGTTTTAAAATAGTCGGACTTCTACTGAAATCTATACCTATATATACCTCAGAACATTGATCACTGTTTCAAAAAATAGACATAAAATAATAATGTTAGAGACTGAGAAGGGGAACAAACACATATCAGAGTAGGAAAGAGATTTGTGAGAGTGTGGTCAGGGCATGAAAGACACGAAGGAGAGAAGAGTAAAAGGGGGAAAAAGGCAATAAAATAAGGAAGAGAAGGATGACTTAATAAATCAATGAAATTTCTCAGTATCACTACTGGGTGGGGAAGGTTGGAACATGGAAACAGGGGAGAAAGTTGCCATGGAAACTTTAGGGCATTCTGAACAAACAGGAGTGCCCTTCTGTGTTGTAACTAGGTTGTCATTATGGTTCTTATCAGGAGTATCAGTTGGAGTATCAGTCTGAATTACTGTAGAAGCATTTACAGGTACCCAACAAAGGAGTTTTGAAGGAAACAGCTTCAAGCTAAATGGATTTGGTTCAACAGAGAACAGCTCTTTATACAGTATCACTTTCATACATGCACAACAGCAGATAAATCTCCCCCATCTCCCATCAGAGCAGCTGTGAATATCAGCTTTACTGTCAGTGTTAATAGTTACTGCTTCCAAACTATGTACATGTCCAAGTTGAACTATGAATTGATTTTACCTTCATCAAGGATTAACTTTGTTTTATTGAAGATGTAGGAAATTTTGATAAAATGAAAATCAAAGTAAGTATCATATTGTAGATTTCTGAGATGTGTGTATGTGTGTGTGTAAAACTTTCTGTTGTCTTCATTTGTCTATATACCATGCCATACTTAAAATCAGAACTTTGTAACACTGGTTTCATGGATCGGAAGCTTTGGAGAGTCAATGAAGCCCCTGAAATAAAATGCCAAATTTTGTGAATGTATGTGCACATGTGCATTTTCAAAGGCTAGGACCCCAAATTTTAAACAGAGGAATAATGACATGAAAGATATCATGGACTGTAACCCGCCAGGCTCATCTGTCCATAGAATTCTCCAGGCAAGAATACTGGAGTAGGTAACCATTCCCTTTTCCAGGGGATCTTCCCACATTACAGGTGGAGTCTTAACTGCTTCAGCCACCAGGGAAGCCCCCACTATAACCCCAAATTTTAATCAGAGGACTGATGACTTGAAAAGCATTAAGAATCACCAACTCATGAAAAGTGGTGATTTGGTCGATAAAATCATGAACAAAAAGGGAGGAAAAAGAGATAAATGGCCAGGAAATTTTGCTGTGTGAAAGGCAAGCATGGGAACTGACTTTTGACTCTGGATAATACCAGGTACCCTGAAATTCTTGGTGTGATGTGAGATCCTTGAAACTGCCAGGAACAAAGAGACTAATAGAGAAGGCTCGCAGTGGTTATTTAAGAAGTAAGTCACTAAAGCATAGAATAAAAGCATCACCAGTGATCATCAGTAAACAAAACTAAGATTCCTGCTTTCCTGGAAGTTATATTCTGGCAGGAAGGCAGAGAACTACAGATGAAGGACAAAGTGTGGTGAATTTTAACTGTTGATGTATACAAGTTTTCAAGGTTTTCTCAGTTCCTGCCACAGAGTAGATGCTTAATTTTTATGGAAGGAAGGAAAGAAAGAAGGGGAGGTGGGAGGGAGGGGGGAAGAAGGGGAGAAGGAGGGAGAAGGGAAGGAGTAAATAGAGTTTAGGCAGTGTTCTTGTTTTGCACATTCTTAAATATACCATGCATTCTTGTACTGCATATCTGTAGGATATTTTTACAGATGTAATATTTATTTTTTTTTTCAGATGTAATATTTCAATATAACTGAGTGCCAGAAAGGTAATCTGACAGACTAACATAGATACTGTACATCTGATCACATTATACTCAGTACATTTTCAACAGGAATTTGAGCATGATAATTTTCCAGAATGAAAACTAAACTAAACTGTAGGCAGCATAGAATGAAAGAAATCTTCAAATCCACTATTTAACTCTTTCCTTTTATGGAGGAGAATATTGAGTCTGAAATATCTGAAATATTTTCCCAAAGTCATAGGGCCAACTAGCAGCAGAACTGAAATGAGAAAATGAATCCTTCCAAGTTTAATTTCATTCATGCTAGAATCTTCTATAGAAGATGACTGGTAGGAGACCCCAGTTTTATAAACTTCAAGTAAGACACAGTCCTCATCAGTTCATTCATTTTGTTTAGTCATTAGTGGGATGTAGAAGTTTGTATCAAGTTATGTGTTTGAATTATGAAAATGAACTTTTCCCCCAAACTCCTAGCAAATTATTTTCATGCTGACCGGGAACATGTTGAAAGGTTAGAACTCTTTTACTGTTTTCTGTAACATATTTTTTAAAAAACTGAGGAATCATACATCATACAGAAAGCTGCTGTCAGATGACCAATATAATTGCAAAATTCTTGTCTTTATACGTTTTTAGAATTCAAATGAGAAGCATAACACAAGTGTAACATCATAGATTTCTTTTCTTCTCTGAAATTCTAATGCCTTAGTATTGTGTAGTAAAAACTTGCAATGGTTAAACTGTGTATTAGTAAAAATTTGCAACAGTTTTCTTGTTATAATACAATATATATAAGAAAATATATCTAAAACTAAAATTTTATTTTATTCAAAAACTCAGGCAAAGTGTAAGACTTATATTTGGTTCTCAGACCTTTTAGCTAATAGTTGTGTGATCCTGAGCAAGTTCTGTCATAATTTGGGGTCTTATTTTCTTCTCCTATAAAATATAGGAAATAGTGCTTATTTTGCAGTGCTGTCTTGTGAATTAAATGTGATAAGGTAATTTAGTGTGAATGTATAATACATGCTCAATAAAATTTCTCTTCTGAATAAGAAAAGAAGTCTCTAGAGTACAGTATCAATTTTCAAAATAAACAATAAATTAAGCAAAATTTAAGTCTGAAGCAATTTACTAAAGCCATTTAAATAAATTATTTAAGAGTACAAGTAAAACAACCTCCCAAGGAATCATTGTCAGAGAAGCCAATATAAACATTTATATTTTTTGTTATCACATTAAAGTTAAAATGTACTTTCTTTGTGATCTATAAATGAACCAGTTGAAATGTACTTATTATCTTCTTAGAAGATATGTAAGGTGATTATATGCTTTAAGTTTTACAAACTTTAGTTTCAAACTCTGATTCATCTCTTTACTTAGCTTGGGCAGGTAACTTAATCCCATCTGTGCCTTAGTTTCTTCATCCATAAAATGGAGATAATAGGAGTCTTTACTTCATAGAGTTTTGTGGGGATTAAGAGAGTCTATATCTATATGCTTAGAACAGTGACTATTACTTGGTCATTAAATATCATATATGTTAACAATTATTATTTATATTTACTAGTGACTGCATAAATATTGGTCTCAAATAGTTATCACCTGTAAATTAAAGTAAGATTTATTTTAACTTTTTCATATTTGTCTGATCTTGTGTGTTTTATTTAGTGATGTGTGTGTTCAGTCACTCAGCTGAGTTTAACTCTTTGTGACCTCGTGGACTGTAGCCTGTCAGGCTCCTCTGTCCATGGGATTTTCTAGGCACAAATACTGGAGTGGGTTGTCATTTCCTCCTCCAGGGGATCTTCCTGACCCAGGGATCAAACCGGTGAATCCTGAAACTCTTGCGTTGGCAGGTGCATTCCTCACCACTGAGCCACTGGCAAAGTGCACGACAAACCTAAATTTATATTCAGCAGAATTTTGGAACCTAAACGAATTACACTAAGAAAGGTAACAGTTGAGGGGTTTATTTATTTATGTAGGTAACCGAAGATATGTTATCTTGACTTACTAAGCAAATGAGAATTCTGCTGCTCAAAATCTAATCAAATAGTTAGGCTTTGGGGAATTCTGCTGGAAAATAATTTTTCAAAGATTATTCCTTTCATGATGAAAGTGCAGAAAGTTGGGCTTTTAACAGGCCCCAACTTACTTTCAGGGAAAATTGTTGATCCTATTTTGCAGGGGCTTCTTAAAGTATCCATTAAGTTAGAAAACACTAATTTTTTGCCTTTGTTTCCAGATATGAGCTCTATGAGGGAACTTTGTTTCATTCCCTCCTGTATCTTCAGCACGTGGCGCAATGCCTAGAACTTAGTACCGATCAATAATTATTTTATCAATTAATAAATGTATATGATCTCTAAAGGTCAGTATTAGGTATTGGGGATACAGAAATCAACTAAATGCTCATAAGTTGTAAGCAAAAATTATTCACACCAAGATTGTCTTCTGCTTTTTTATTGTCTAAGTGAGCAGATCTTCTTTCAATATTAAAAAAAAAAAAACATAAAACATGAAATATTTGCCTTATAGCTCCATGGCAGTCTAAAATAGGTTTTGTCAGCTATCCAGCTCCTGCTTAATCTGTCTAGATTTGTCTATTTTAGAGGGATGTCCAGTGTTCCCATGAGGATTTTCCCCTCTACTTAATCAAACCATCCAAAAGCTGTATCTCCAGGCAATAGCACCATGGCCAGCTCAGAACCTATCTTGTTGAACCTCTGATTGACAAAATACCCTCAGATATCACTGAAGGGATAATTGGGACTTCACACACAGTCATATGTAGAAATAGGGTATCTCTTTTCCTATCACTTGCATCCACTGATATCATGGAATAAGAGCTTAGTCCATTTCAGGTATGTGCCTATGTGCTCAGTCGCTCAGCCATGTCCAACTCTTTGCAACCCTGTGGATTGTAGCCTATCAGGCTACTCCGCCCATGGAATTGTTCAAGCAGGAATACTGGAGTGGGTTGCCATTTCCAATTCCAGGGCCATTTCAAGTATAGTGGCATGTAATAATGTCAAGATGAATCAATACCATCTGATTTATTGCCTAGTATGTTTCAGGGATGTTACATGCACAAATGTTCCTCAATCCTTATAATACCTTTTTGTCATATATATTATTATCCTCATTTTACAAGTAAAAGAAAAACAGAAACAAAACCAAAGCTTCAGAGGAAAACTAAGTTATCCCTAGTGATAGAAATGAAGAGATAGGCAAGGGAAACACAGGCCTGCTGATGCTAAAGCTTGTGTACATTATGTTTTGGTGGAAAGGCTCTGTGATTTCAGCCAGTTATTGAGCTTGTTGGTGTATTTCTATCTCAAAATCATAACCCTCATGTCATTCCACTATGTTTTATACCCACATATGCCTTGTCTAAGACCATGCCTATGTAGACAGTAAAATCTTGGGCTGGAGCTGAGCTGTTTTCCATGGTAACCGGCTGTATCTGAGACTGGATTCGGTTCAGATGTCAAATCACCCCAGAAACGCCCTGGAGAGACTCGGGAATTATTCATAATTACCACCAATTGAAAGTGATGAGAAAATTGGTGCTATTTCCCTATCAATCTCTAGAAAGATATTTTTAAAAAATTCTTACTGTGAAAATTTGTTCCACAAGCTTCAACATTAATTCTCAATCTTTGTTTTGCCACAATGAAGTATGCCTCCAATTATTTCAAGGATGGTGATAAAGTTCTTAATTTCCAAACAAAAGTAAATGTGATTAAACTTTGTTGTAATGTCTTCTTGTGAAACATTTCAAACATGTTCAATAGCAATAAAATTATAACCAACCTCTGTGTATCCATTGATCCAGGTTCAACAATTACCAATAAATATCAAATCTTATTTCATTTATATCCTCCCACTCCTCCCCCATACCCACCACAGGAGTATTTTGTAGCAAACCCCAGATATTGTATCAAATCATTCTGCTTAAAATTTCATATTAGAATGTCATAGAAACAGTTGGACAAAGAAAAAGAAGAGGCAGGGAACACAGGAACGATATAAAGCAAAACCCAGCAAAATGCAGTTTTTTGAACAGTTTTCATTTTTGTTTTACTTGAAGAAGACAAAAACAATGTCTCTTTTATTCATTTTGAACACAAATCAAAATGTAATATATGTTTAAGATAATTATGTTGACGGTGACTTCCCTAAAATGTGTAGCAAGTTATTCATGAGTGGGCATCAGACACTGAAGGAGAAAGAGATTAGATTGCACCAGCCCCCAGCTGGTAAGAAACTGAGAATCACTGATAATATTGTGATGTCAAGCACTATTCTGTTTTTTTGTTACTGACCAAATCAAGAGAGCCTTTCCTTATAGTGTACTGTGAGAGATGTTCTTGGCAGAAGAGCTCTTTTGCATGCTCTATATTATACTCAAGATCGTCTCGAGACTGTCCAAGTAACCCCCACATTGAAACTACTCTATTGAGAATGATAAAGCAGGTATTTCAAATTCATATGCTTTTGTGTTTCTATCAATAATCACTGATAATAGAGCCGCAACTTTATTATTCCTTTAAGTGTCATCATTGAAATATTTTTTTAAACATGCATTTCCATAGAAATAAAAACATCTCATCTGCTTTATAGTTCTTTTAATTTTGTAGAATGTGCCTAATTATGTAAAAACATACTTTTTTTCCTAAGCATATTGACGACATGCTTCTCGGGGGCTTAGTGGTGTAGAACACAGCTGCCTGCCATTGTAGGAGATGTAGGACACGCAGATTTGAATCCTAGGTCAGGAAAATTCCCTGGAGGAGGACATGGTGACCCACTCCAATATTCTTGTTTGGAAAACCCCATGGACAGAAGAGCCTGGTGGGCTACAGTCCACGGGGTCGCAAAGGGTCAATCATGACTGAGCGACTGAGCGTGAGCACAATACTGACTCCATTGAAAATACGTGTGAATTGGTTAGCAGTTTAACATAACAAATCAAAGGGCTGCCTTGGCGGCTCAGAAGACAAAGAATCTGCCTGCAGTATAGGAGACCAGGTTCGATCCATGGGTAAGGAAGATCCCCTGGAGAAGGGAATGGCAACCCACTCCAGTATTCTTGCCTAGGGAATTCAGTGGACAGGGAGCCTGTTGGATTTCGGTCCATGGGGTTGCAAAGAGTCTGTCAGGGCTGAGAGACTAACACTTTCACATTAGCATGTCAAAAAATGTCAAATAATGGAAATGTTTAGTATCATCACATTTTTGTAAATTCATTTCAATTCCAATAGGAAATATCAGTGTAAAATCTGGGTAAATTTATGCCTCATTAACATCCAGATTTAATTCCAGTGTTGTGATCTAATGTGAAGCAACAGCTGTCAGTTCTTAAAGATGCAATAAGGAAAAGAGGTTGTACATCAGTTAACACATTTATAAAAAATGCAGAAACATAAGCATTTTTAGAATGCCTCAAACTCAAATCATAGTAATTGTAATAGCATTGGTTGAAAAGTAATAGAATTGGTGTTTTATTAAATATTTTGACTTTATAATTTAAAGAAAATGACTGGCTGTAGATATTAATATAGTCTAAAATGAAAGTTTGTGTTCATGTTGTAGCATTTTTATTATGAAAGTGATTTTATAAGTCAAATATACAGAAATAAATTATGTAAAGATAAATTGAGTAAGGATGTATGGAAGTCTAGTGGGTTCTGACTTTTAACTCTTGTAAGAATCACCAGGAAGAGCTTTTAAAGACAGAGACTGCTGGATCCCACTCTACAGTTTGGCTTATCTGGTGGCTCAGTCAGTAAAGAAACCGCCTGCAATATAGGAGACCTGGGTTCAATCCCTGGATTGGGAAGATCCCCTGGAGGCGGGCATGGCAACCCACTCCAGTATTCTTGCTGGAGACCCCCCATGGACAGAGGAACCTGTCAGGCTGCAGTCTGTGGGGTCATAAAGAGTCAGACGTGACTGAAGGACTAAGCACAGCACCCTACAGTTTCAGATTCAGAAGGTCTGGGGAAGACATCGGTATGTTCATTTCTAACCAGTTTCCAGGGGATGTTGATATTGCTGGTCCAGGGACCTCAGTTTGAAAACTACTTCAGTAGCCTAACATGTTCTAAGAATGCAGGATTTAAAGTTGTGGTGATTATGAAAATATCTTTTTAAAATGGAGTAGCACGTGGGCAAGATATCAAGAAGATAGATGTTGCCACTAATTCTATTACGAACATTTGCCCCTAGTCACGTCACTTCCCATCTCTCTGGGACCTTTTTTTTTAAGTAATTACTTTGGCTGTGTTGGGTCTTAATGACTTGCAAGGTCTTTGTTGCGATACATGGTCTCTTTCATTACAGCGCACGGACTCTGTAGTTGCAGCGGCTGGGCTCAATAGTTGTGGCAGGCAGGCTCCAGAGAGCATTCCTACAGAATTTGCTCCTGCAATGATTCCTCTTCCTCTCTTGGTTTTCTTCTTATCTCATCTGCATCTCCATCTATTTGTCTTTGCCAGATTCTCCAACTTTTATCTACTTTAAAGATAAGACTAGTTCCTCAGTTCAGTTCAGTTCAATCCCTTATTCCTGTCTGACTCTTTGTGACCCCATGAATTGCAGCACACCAGGCCTCCCTGTCCATCACCAACTCCCAGGGTTTAACCAAACTCATGTCCATCGAGTCGGTGATGCCATCCAGCCATCTCATTCCATGTTGTCCGCTTCTCCTCCTGCCCCCAATCCCTCCCTGCATCAGGGTCTTTTCCAAAGAGTCAATGCTTCGCATCAGGTGACCAAAGTATTGGAGCTGCAGCTTCAACATCAGTCCCCCCAATGAACAGCCAGGACTGATCTCATTTAGGATGGACTGGTTGGATTCCCTTGCAGTCCAAGGGACTCTCAAGAGTCTTCTCCAACACCATGGTTCAAAAGTATTAATTCTTCGGTGCTCAGCTTTCTTCACAGTC